CATCTCGGGGCTGATCTACGAGGAGACCCGCGGCGTGCTGAAGGTGTTCCTGGAGAACGTGATCCGCGACGCCGTCACCTACACCGAGCACGCCAAGAGGAAGACGGTGACTGCCATGGACGTGGTCTACGCCCTCAAGCGCCAGGGACGCACCCTCTACGGCTTCGGCGGCTAAAATCTTTCGCTCCCGGATCACCTCAAGAAACGAACCCAAAGGCTCTTTTAAGAGCCACCCACTTTTTCCCTAAAGAGAGCTGTGTTGCTTTGTATTTCTGTTCCAGCTTTATACGCCTTTCCCTTCCCATGTTCCCCTTTCGGTAACCCCTCTTTTTTCGTGTCGGCCTGCAGCTTCTCGGCGGCTTTACTAAACGAATAAAGTCATCTACACCCTCTTCCCCCCCCTGAAAATAATCCCCTTGTTTCCTCGTACGCGGTGTGTTTGTCGGACACGGCAGGGTTTGTGGAGGGGGCTCTTAAACACCTTTCAGCGCGCCCTAGCTCAGGCCCGTGTCCAGCGCCGATCGGGTTAAGCGCCCGCCCGCGCCATTTCCAAAAGCCCGCGCGGGCGCCGATTGGCTCCGCCACGCTCCCTGCCCGGCAGAGCCCGCGCTCCGCTCCCTGCACGATCGGGCAAGCACAACACTCCCCTGCAGCACCGGGAAACTAACTTGACAGTTCTCTCCTACGGCGTCTTACGAGCACAGCGGAGGCCCGCTCGGCCGCGAATGAGCTCTACGGCAGAACCGGACCGGCACGGCTACGCGAAAGAGACACATCTTGACCCAACAACCACGCACACACCCAAAACCGCACACAAAAACAAGCGCCCCCTTTAGCCCCCCCAGATGCACGTTCCGCAGCGTCTCAAGCTCTTTCTCGAGGCCGTGGGTGGCTCTGAAAAGAGCCTTTGGGTTTGCTTTTGGGCTCGGGACACGTTCGCCGCCGGCTTTACTTGCTCTTGGCCTTGTGGCTTTCAGTTTTCTTGGGCAGCAGCACGGCCTGGATGTTGGGCAGCACGCCGCCCTGCGCGATCGTCACC